TATCACGATACTATGCCATGATCCCAGATTGACCTCCTTTTATTTATTCATTATTTGCTGTTCAAATATATTTTTAAATGCAAATATCTTTAATTAAATCTTCTTCTTCCCTTTGAAACTACTAATTATCCTAATCTTTAATTAATTAATTAATTAGAAAATGTAGCCTAGTGCCCTTTGACAGGTGTTGGCGTGTAGCAATCCCCATCTGTCATACTGTCTAAAAAATTATTCTTGATATTATTATTATTTGAAATTTTGCAAAAAAAAATCAATTATTTATTTCAGATATTTTAGAAAATACCACTTATCTACTTTAACTACATAAAATATGGCTTAATTTCATTTTACACCATCGAATTATTGTATTTTGGCATTTTGCATTCCAGTAAAAATATATTAATAGCACTTTACACCCTCGAAACAGAATCGAGATCGGAGAATGATTATTTGATGAAAATGAAATGGAATAAATTAAATTGGAAATGTCCCCTTCACGAGAATGACTATTTCCCAACTTTCCTTTGTTTTCTTTTTTCTTTCATCTGTTTGTCCTTTTCCCCTTCCCTTGGAAAATGTGCTTCATTCTTTTTCTATTATTTTTTATTTTTCTTTTTACAGCTGGCAATTGGGATTTTTAAGGAAAATATTGAAAATTCCAAAGAAAATATATATATGTATATATATATATATATATATATATATATATATATATATATATATATATATATATATATATATATATATATGAATATGATATTGCATTGCCAAAAAATACAAACCAGAGCAAATTTAATAACTAAAAAAAACAATTTAAAAAAAAAACATGGTAATAATAGGTAATTACTTTATGAATTACTTCCAAGAAAAATTTAATAAATATTTTACTCTTAAAAATCTAAACACTTGATTCAAGATCAAGTCTTCCTCGATTATACGAGCAGGTGATGATATTAATTTCCCTCTCTTTTTTTACTAATTTGTACATCAGAAACATTAAAATCTGATATATCATCATCTCCTCACAACACATGCAAAAAACCATCCGGCCCGGCCCGGCCCGGCCCGTTACTCGGTTCGAAG